TGAACGTGACGTTATCGTGATGATACGTGTGCACTTAGAACTTTTTTTTTTTAGTGCAGTAACCAGTGATATTAATATTCGAGTTTTTGTTTGTACTATTCTCAATACCATGCATTAATAATAAGAGTAAAGGTTAAATCGATAACATGTTAACTTAAATTACTTTTAATGTCAATAATTAAATATCATTAATATTTATAATAATAAACATTATTAATTATTATTATATTTAATATTAATATTAAATATATCGGGCACGCGTCCGATCTCCTAAAATTAATTTGCTCCTCAATTTAGTCTAACACCGACCGACCTTAATACGTAGGTGGGAATTTGAGTACAGAACACGACAAGAAGTGGACAGGATCATCAAGCAAATTCCGTGAACGCTAATATGAGACGGATGTGTATGTATATATGTATATGTATGGATATGTAGATAAAAAAAAAAGGCAATTCATTCAAAAAATTATAACGGAAAATACGATATTATTCAGTATTGCTGTTACAAATAAATAATTAAATAACGATAAACGCACGTAGACAAATCCACAGCAATACAAATATGGTAACTAAACAGTATGTGGTTAAAAAAAACGCTATCAGTAAAATGAACAATGAATTACGGCACTGTTGGCCCAAACAATTATAATAAAAATATAATATAATAAAATAATAAATAATTTGCAACATTCGTCGGTGAACTGCTGATCAGCTGCTGCCAGCGCTTATAGCTGTGAGCTGGAGTAAATATTGATAAAATATAACACAGCTATTGAATATTTGAGCCATAATAAATACCATAGATTAATATAGAAGCTGCGATCTGAATAAAAACTGAAGCACAAACCATAGTAGTTGTAGACTCCTTTTTCAGTGTTACAATTTCAACAAAGTTAAAATACTATAGACAATATCAATTTGTTTGCAACATGTACACTTCACAGCAGTGCCAAACGGTTATCACTTATCATCAAATAGATATCAATATTTGTTGATGTACAACGTGAAATAGCGGAACAAATTTTTGTTAACAGATTCCTTTTTCGGGCCAATGATCGACGGTTGGGCTTCAATTTTGTTATACAGCCATTGTAGGGAACGCTGCCTCTATATTACTCTATTATAAACACTTACCTATCAACAAATTTTAAACCGGTACCGGTATAAAACTATTCTCAATACGTACGATGCGACGGATAAACTCAGACAAATAATTTACGTAATTTATAATACTAATTTTTAAACAAATATAACATTTCATTATACCTATATATACCTATCTAATGAATGTGTGTGTGTGTGTGTGTGAATTAGTAGTGCATGCAGGAATTTTTATTCGTTCATAATAACTTCCTAGAGAGTGGAAGACATTTCGGAGGAGTTTTGACTATCTAACCCTCCTCTATGTACGCCAATATTGTGTAAGTGGTCGACGGTAATAATACTTGATAACCTTGGCGGGGGTAATCGCCATGGCAGCGTGTATTTTATACGGATTCAACGACTACGTTAAAAATCTAGTGGCCTGGAGTTTCCCCATTTTAAAACGTTTTGTTTCTAATTTTAATTTGGCCAACTTAGGTTGAGTTAGGTCAATAAATCGATATGTCACACCATGAATTACATAATAATAATACAAAATTACCCTACAATAACCTAAATAAGGAGTTATTATTAAAACTGATGAGTATGTTCTGTGATCATTAAAACTTGTAATTCGACACCTTACATACTTAAGCTACAAATAAATATTGCACAAATATGTCAGTTTTTATTTTCTCTACGGTGAATATGTCTTCACCAAGGTGGACCGACTGTATTACACAATTTTTTTGAACCCCAATAAATGTTGTCTTTGATAAACAACCATTGATGTCAAATTTGTATCCAAATTGTGATTTAAAATGTCAATGCTATGATTGAACTCGTAAAATTTGATATTTTTCATCAAATTATTTTTCGCTGTCGTTGTCAGAGAGACATTTTTTCAGTAAACGAATTTAAATAAACCTAATGATTTCTAGTGCATTTTCTACCTTTTATCCGTTATTATATAGGTACAAAATCATATCAAATTCGAATGGACTAATGTATTCTATGGATATATTATTTAATAGTTCCATTGCTAATTCAAAATATTTATGTAAACTCTACAGTTTGTATCCAAAGCTTCAATTCAGAAATATTTTACTCATCTTGTCTACATATTTTTTACTTTGTATAATTCGCCTCTTATCAGTAGTTCACCACATTTATGCCACTTAAATTCACCTTTGATGGTGTGAAATAATCTCCTATTATTAGACTCCATAATAGTATCACGATTTTGACTTGATGTTAATCCTCTTTTATATCTTTTATCTTATATCTTTTCACCACCTATTTCATTTTATACTAAAAAATAAAATAAATAAAATATTCAGAATATCATTTCTGCAAATTTGTATACCTTATATGAATTACACAAATGTTATAAAACAGGAATTATAAATTCATCATGTCATAATCGTCATCAATTTTTATTTCACTGAAACAACATGTCTTTTTTTTAAAGTGTTATAAAAATGATTATTGTAAGCCTCCCACGGTAGTTTCATTTCTGTCTCTTTCTCAAAATGTTGATTTGCATTTGTCTGACTTCGTTTTTCTCGGTTTATAACGAGATTGACACCACAAGACCCAAATCACGGAATAAAAATTGTATTATCTTATTACTTCATACATAAATAATAACATTTAATTTTTAATTTGGATTTATTTATACTTATATTTGTTTTTAAACGCTTGGTAGGGATAGAGAACAGAAATAATACGTACGGGGTTAAATTTAGTTCAATATAAACAATAGAGACAAGAAAAAATGAGCAACAAAATAAAACAAATAAGAAAATATTAAGAAAAAGTTTTACACGAATGTATTTAAAATTCCAATACAAATAAGTTTAAAACAGTACTTATTTAAAATACTTTCCTAATATTTAATTCAAAAAGTATTATATAGGTATACTATACAAGTATATTTAAATGCTTTTATTCACGTGTGAAAATCTTTTTTGATTTTTATTTGCTATTTAAAATTCATGATCGAACACAGAAGTTTTTAACCATAGTCTATAACCAAAGCAGTGTTTAGAAGATTAAGTCAGTGTACTATAATTTAACTGCATTCGACTGATAGAAACGAAAACATTAACAAAATGTTCAATTGTACAATTAACCACTGTCCTTCAGAAGTTATGAAAATTATAATAAAAATAAAAAAATTATGAAATCCAAAATCGCTTTATATGCATTAGTATCTAATTTCTACATTATAATTATCAGCCTAAATAAGTGGTACCATTTTAAAAAATAGATATTACAATATTGTTATTATAATATACGTACAGTATAGTTACCGGTTTGTTAACTATTACTTTGGTCAGTAAATAATTTATCAAGTTGAACTGTACAAGAGAATCAAAATTAGTGAGCCCAATATCATTTTAAAAAATTTTAAAGCCGGAGGTCTACCCGTGGTAGCACTATTAATTTGTTTTACCAATTATTTTATTCCTGTCATTTATTAATGTAATCCAAATTACTTACTTTACATTATTTTATGTTTATTCTTATTACATTAAACAAATTTTAACTTTAATATGAGTTACATATTAAATGTTCAAAACTAAAAGAAAAAAATAATATCTGAATTAGTGTCTCAAACTCAAATAAATTACCAATGGGCCATTTATTTATTCGACAAATGTTCTGAAACAAAGAATTTTGTTAAACCCAATGTAAATGTCATTTATTTTTATTAAAAGTAATTATTATTTTATTACATTTGTGTTATTATTATATTTAATACAAGGGTATACATATTATTTACATACAATTTATTAATTTAATTACTGTCGGCAATTCTTCCAAAAAAATGGAAATAATACTATAATGTGCATTGATTTTTAATGTTCAAATAAAAACTTTTCACAAAACAAATGATTGCTATGAAATTCGTATGGGAAATTTGACTGGTTCATTATAAAAAGAATCATTCCGTATAATATGATAATATTATTATAATATTATTATTATTATAACACGATTGTTCGACACGCCTAGTACAGTCAGTACAATACACTCGTATTATGCTACTACCCAGCAGCAGCAGTATCAACCGTGTATGACCGTAGTTCTAATATACTCGTAAACTGAATCGTATAAAACCATGATGATTATCATGTCCGTATACGTGTACGACTAGCGTGATATTTTTTGTATTTTGTATACGTACAGCACCACGGCGATGACGATGATGACGGGAGTGTGCACACGTGCATGCACGAATCGTATTTAATATTGTTAATCCATTGCGAATTTATGACGGTCGATTGGATATAGTCACTGGGATTTTTTTTTTTTTTTTGTGGGGGAAACAGGGACCGTTTGTATAACTACAGTACAAATTTGGTTCCCTTTATCCTGTCCATGCTTTCCACAGCGACCGAAACTTTACACGAGCATAGCGATAGGTTCCGGATAAAAAAACTGGAGAAACACCACGGCGGCCCGTACGAGGAAATCTTCTGGAAAATCACTACGCCGCTAACGGTGAAATAATAATAATAATACCCAATATTTACGAGTTTATTTGAGATGACGGATTATTACTTCTTTTTATTTTTTTGTTGTTCAATCTACTATATTATATAGTGTATGTTGTTAAGTAGTCCGCATTTATACGGTCACCCTACACTACAGTAATATACTCTTACGTTGACGAGGAGTTCGAATGGTATTGGATATTATGTGTATTTATGAAGCGATTATTATAAAACAAAAAAAAATGACCGCAATTATCATTTATTTAATACAAATATAATAATACATTCATTTAAATTTTGAAATGCAATTAAAAATCTAAATATTCTGCAGAATGAAAAAAAAAATTACATACACATATATTATGTATACATATATATATATATATAGATATATTATAAAAACACAAATTGCTACTGTTCATTTTTTATAATAATAATATTTAATTTATTAAATTTATACAATCATTAGATACTACATTAAATATTTATATACTAGTATGCATCTATTATATACATATATTCTTTTTAATTATTAAAATATAACTGTATAGTTTATATACCGGTTGATTCATTTATCGTTGAACACTAAGTATTTTGAAAATTATTAACTATTTTTGAATTTTTCGTATAAAACTTAAGTAACAAATAGTCCTAAAATGTTACACCATCGTTTTTGTTTTGTTATCCTTATTTTTGGGGATAAAAATACTAACCAAATACCTTAAACAGACGGAGCATTAGTTAAAATTAATTTTGGTGTTCACATTTTTGACTTCCGTCAAGCCGTTGACGAGACATTCCACTTTTAAATTTTGGTCGGGGAAGAATAGTGGAATATCGTTTGTGTGGCGGCACGTCGTGCAGCGTTTTAATAATGCATCATTATTTCTGTCAACGGGTTGACGGTAATCAAAAATTGCAACACCAAAATTTATTTTAACTAATACCTCGTGTATTTAAGGAATATGTATTAAATAAATCATTATTATTATCATTAACTTATATTGTAAAAATTATAACGTTGTATTTCAAAATATGCTTATTATTATTTATGTTTAATTATATTGTTTTGAATGTTTTAACAATTAATTTTTAATACTTAGTACCAATATTACTTACATAATTAGTTAATCTACGAATATTAAGCACAGGACTTTTCATGCTGAATATTTTAAATGGGTTTAGGTTACCTGATGGCATACCTGTGCCAGATATGTATTTTTTGGCTATTTCATCAATTATAAATGGGCAGTTTTTGTGTATAATATCGATATCGATGTTCGAACCTTTTAAAAAACTCATCAACGATAACACATTATTTGTTAAATCGTTGAACTCTTTCAAATTAGTATTTTCTCTTAAATCGATTCGCCTTTTTTTCAACACTGTATTGATGAACGCGTGGAAATGATATTTGAATAACGACAAAATTGACCTGGAATAATCTAATTGCATAATAGTATCGTCTATCTTAGAAATATTTGTACATTGACTTCTAATAATAAGGTCTATCCATTTTACGATTCTGTACCCTTCTTTTATCGCGACGTACAACATAACGTCGGCCGCGATATTGTCGTATTGGATCACGTTGAGGAAATATCTGTTATTTTCCAATGATTTTCGTAACGATTCTAAGCTATAAAAGTCATTGACCGGACCATTTCTTTTGATGCGCCATTGTAACTCAGGCTTCACTGGTGTATTATAGAATTTCTCGAGCTGTAATTAATTAATAACATATATCATTGTATTTGTATTCTACTAAAACAGTTTAATACAAATATGTAATTTTATAACTCGAATAGTTAATATCTGTTCACAACCAAGTAACAATGCCGTTTGGAACAAATTTAATTAAATACTGAAATAAACGGTGGTGGGTGTACATTTTTATCTGTGTTTTGCATTTATTTTAAATTATTAATAAATAATGTATATGTATATTACCAAATTTAATACTCGTATGAAATCTTTATCAGGTCCCTTTAAAAAAAAAAAAAACAAACAATAAACATTTTATTTTCCGTTTCTACATAAATTTAAAGGAATAAATACGATTGAGTACAATCCTTATCGTCGATATCCTTTTGATAAATTGTTTTGCTATTACGATTGAACATGCTCAGGTTTTTAAATTCCACACAACGTTGCGAAATATATTAAGACACACGTTATCATTATCGTTGAACATAGTGATATTAATGTTGAGTTTTACGATTACTTATTGTTGTTTTTATCCATCGATCATTCAGGACAGAGAAAACAATTATTAACAAGTGAAGATTCAACATTAATAAATGTATAGTGAGTTTGTTAATAGAAGGTGAAAATTACGCTGTTAAAGTAGTTTTGGCTGAGTACTGAAATTTTTCTAAAGCTAACATCAAAAGTTGAACTCTATCATTACGGGAGAATTAAAATAGAGAAGCTTTGGAAAAAGTTTTGAATAGACCAAAAAAAATAATTTGTACAGATCTCATGAAAAACATAAACACCTCAGTTCTTGAACATCAAAATTTCAAATATATTTGAAAAACAATTTACTGCAAATAAAAAAGATAAATATAACCTGTCTTAACTAAGATCCGTATTAAGGCTGTTACCAGACTTAGAAATACGAAAAATTATGACGATTTTAAGTATAGAGATTAACTGTTTATTTATGTGCATGGCGATATGACAACATTGCCCGGAAACGCATACACAATAGTACTAATAGTTTTTGCATTGGCAGTTTCTTTCATTATTATATGTATTATATTTTTTATTTATTATTATATTTGAGCGCGTTTAAACGTATGCCAAAAAAGATAAAGCGTGCTCATCTAACTTAATATTAATAGTAATAGTAATATTTTCAGGTTATTTCATACTTTAAAGATCAATATGACAGAAAAAATGTTTAATATATTTAAAATTATGAAATAAAATATTAATTGACCATAAATTAAAATTAAAAAATATAGTACCAATATATTATTTTGAATCAAAATGTTTCTAAAATTTCTTAGTTTTTTGGTTGTATATAATATGTATAAAAATATGTACGTAAAAATAAAAAATGCTAAATATACACATACATTACGCGAAATGTTTTATTTTCTATTCGATATTTGTGCATTCACTGTTTTTCCACATTTTCATTTAAGAAAATAGCTCGGTCTAATATAAAATATGTTTTAATATATGCATAACAATTCTGCGACCATCACTCGTTTATCTAATTTATCTAACCAATTAGATATTTAATACTCATATAATACTTACAGACAAATGTATAATCCTCAATATTTCAGAACAATTTTAAATTTAAATTTAAACTATTTTCAATAGTCATTTTAATAATTTCAACCGATACTTTAATTAAAAACCATAACTGTCTTTAGTATTCAGAATCATCAATTATTTAATTTAACATATGGAAAACACATCATTATATACAACGTTTACATACCTAGTTATACTATGTTCACAGTATATTTGTACTAAAATAATATAAATGCCCATGCATTGTATTGTCTTATTCATGGTAAAATAATTTTAGAGGTACAAAATTTTATAATTAAATACAAAACATAAACAATATTGCTAAAAGAACAAAAAATTGTCCAAGAAACTAAATGAATATTAAAATATTACTTCTTTTTTGTGGCACTCGTAACTGAACTCCTTGGTTTTCTATAGTAAAAATAACATTTATATTTATTAATAAATAATTCCTAATATTTTAATTTTTAAAATAATAGACTTTAAAAATAAGTCACTATTTACTGTGTATTGTATTAAGTAATAGGAATAACGGACGAGTGCCTACTATCATATTCGATAGATTCACATAAATTAACGCACAATAACCTTAAAAGTAAGGGTACATAAATAAAAACCTCCTAATAATAATTAATATTTACTGAAAATTAAATATTATAACAATACATTTCTCCTAGAGTATTTTGTATTTATTTCTTGTGACTATTCATACAAGTTTGTCTTCAAAATGTATTTAAGAACATAAAATAAATTATAAGGATTATAAATCAATCATCCAATCGATTTATAGATCGCCGTCATGCGTAATGCATACGTGTATGAATATACTTATACCTATCACCCCCGTATAAAAACTTACCCATCCATACTCTTTCCCATACTCTACTCTACTCCCTCCTTTACTTTTCTTCTTCTTCTCCCTTCTCTCCCTTCAATCTTTCCTCTTTTCCATGCCCGATTTTTAAATTATTTTTTATTCTACAACATATTTAAAAATGTATAATTCGAGTGTCTACATATCAGTGTTTAAAAATGTCTAAGAACCAAGAATTAAAAATCAATAATTTTTTGTATAAAAATAATGATTGGTTTTATTTTATTATACAAAAATAATACATTTATGTCATAAGTACAAGTAATAACTGATTCCGATTTCTGAAGCTATTGTAAAACTATCTGTTTTCTCTCTCTCTCTACTCAAAATAGTTCAGTTATTTAGACATGTAATAAGTGTCATACAATTTATGATTTAAAAAATAAACATCCCCAGAAATAAAGAATATAACTATGTCATATTTGCGTATTTACCAAAATGTTGCTACAATCCCATGTCATGATACGGTGTGTTACTGAAGGCACATAGTGAACTAGAAACTTCGAATACATACTTTCATTTTCATTTTTAAACTAGAAATGTCAATAATTTCAAATTAAATTAATTAACAGTACAATATATTACAGTATAAAATGTAATTTTATGTGAAATAATTGTACTTATTAATATTATGGATACTACAAACATACTTACGACTACTTTACATACTTCAGCTACAAATACATGTTGCAAAAACATATCGGATTTAATTTCCTCCGTGTCGAATAAATCTTCGCCGATTAAAGGTGGACCCGCTGTATCGCAAAATATTTTTGATCCCCAATATATCTGGTCTTTTATATACATCCATCTTTCTGTTGAGTTTTCCTTCAACCGAATTTCATCATTCACACTGTCATTCCAATTCCAATTACCAGTTTGAGGGAGTATGATTTTCGTTCTAATATTATTGTGTAAACGCGCTAGTTCTACCTTTAATAGAGATACGTCGGATTCAGTAAACGTTTTAAGATAATGCATAGCCTCAAGTACGTATTCTACGTCGAATTCACCGTAATCGTACACATACGTAAAAATACAAAGTTCCTGATCATTTGGAAATCTAATCATTTCCTCTTCCTGTGCAGTTAATGGTCCATCTGACCGATCTTTTAATTTTCTATGAATGTATAACAAATGATAATGCAAATTCTTCACTACATAACCAAAGCTTCTTAACAAAAACATATGAGTCAATTTGTCAAGTTCTTCTTTGACCTTGTGGAATTTTTTTCTTAACGATAATTCTTTACTTACATTGTGATTAGATCCATCGAAATCACCATTAGTTATACGAAAAAACTTCATATTATTAGACAATGTCAAGATGTTATAAATTTGATTTGCGGTTAATCTATTTCTGTATCTTAATTCACTTAATTGTTTTTGACATACTGCCAACAGAAAAAGTGCAATAAGAAAAATTATTAGAATTTTCATATTTATTGTTGTATACGCACACGTTAGTTTCGAAATATTTTCAATAGTATATTATTATGTATACATTTCCAAACTTGTGCGCTAGTATATTTCGTCTACGCTACTAAGTAAGCAACAGTATAATGTACTACGATAGCTATTTCCTTATATAAATTTTAATAATTCCTTCAATATTTATTTTATTTGTATTTTTTTTTTTCAAATATGTTGTCAACTCACACAAGTTATTTGTCCTATATTACCAACAAAATTTTCCTCGTATATTAATTTAGATAATGTATACTAATATTTTGTTTATTTTTTTAAAATTGCATTTATATTTTTATTATTATTTTTTATTATGACTATATTATTTATTCATATTATAATATTATGATCCTTCTTCTCCTTCAGCTTATTGATCTTATGAAAACTATTGCTGTCACCACAAAACCTCTCTGATTTTCTCTGTCGTATGCCTCGTAAAAATGTTGCGTTTTTATTTTATATTTTTGATGTTTTATGATATAAAATCTAACTACCGGATTTTGGGTCTTCTTAATGGTCTTTCTTTTGTAAATTGTTTTGGTTGATTCTTCTTTTAAAACTTGCTCATCCGCTCTCCAAACATGTCCAAACCATTTCAGACATTTTCTTCTTATGTATGATAAATTTATCATACATAATTATTTGATGTGTTATATAGAGATTACTATAAAGTATATTGTTAAAAATACGTTTTGCTATAATGGGGACGTTTACAGCCACTATTAAAGGTAGTTTGATATATATTTATAGGCAACGATAAACAATAGTTTACGAAAAAACGATTTTGAGTGGAGTTAAGTTGATAATAATACTTTGTCAACATTACCTATAACATATTATAACAAAATAATTAGATAGGCTTTATATATTTTCTTCAATAATATTTGGTTAATATTTTTAGGTTTTTCACATTTGATGAGAAAAATATTGTGAAAATCTTAAAATGACCACTCTATAGTACCACTCCGATACTCTTTACACAGATTTTCTTTCAGAAAAAGTGTTATACGTAAAAATCAGAGTAAGTTCTCTGGGAGAAAATTATTCACAGAAAAAAAAACTTATTTGTAAAACCAAAAGCTTCTTCATTACTTTAAGAATAAAAAATATTTCAAATTTTAAGTTTCCGTGAAGAAAATGGATACTTGGAAAATCTATAAAAAGATGTGAATCAAAAAGGATATAAAATCATAAGACAAAGAAAAAAATTGGAAAGAAAATACGGATAGAAAAGGACAGGAAACGAAATCGTCCTAAAATACCTTATAATTATGATGATGATAATCATGAGACGCAATCTTGACAGGAATACGAGGACAATATTTTTGTTAATATTCAATCCTTAAAAAATAATTATGATTTACCTACCGACTCACATGAACAATGTACATTAAACAACATATTTTTAAAAAGAATGTATCCAAATAAAAGTATTATGGAAAGAATATCAAAATCCACAAAAGAAAACAGTTATCATTGTTCACATTATACATGTGTTTAAACGTGTTGTTTATTTAGTTGTGTAAACAAAAAATAAAGCCAACAAGTTTAGAGATTTCTAAAAAATATTTTAAAATTTAAGTTTATGTGCACAACAATAAATAAGACGATTTTAATTTGCCTTACTATACTGTTTTTGATGACAGAATTGTTTAAATAATTAAACGAGTTGAAATTACACGTCTATGGACAAATTATAATAATTTTATATAATCTTACTACTATGGGATTGATAAAGAACTGCACCTTATATTTATAGACTTTAAACAAGTCTATAATTATAATATGGAAGAGCTATGAAAACCATTGGATGTATCTCATAAAAATACATGATTTTGAAGAAAGAATATAACAATAAAATTATTTGCAGAGTTCGTTTTTAGCAAGAAACGTCTGAACATTTCAAGGTAAAGTCAGGTCTTCGACAAAAAGACGATGTTTTTCCTGCCGTATTAAATATGGCCCTTAAACAAGAAATGAGAAACGTGTGAGATGGCCGAAAAATAGAAATTTGTGGAGAACACGTGACTTGAGCGGATGCTATGTCGATACAATCAAAGACCTGTTTAAAGTCTTTAAATATAAGCTGCCGTTTTACATCAAACTCAAAATACTATGGTTACATTAAATTATTAAAATTTGTCGTTGTTGTTGTTGATAATTGTTGTTGATTTGAGGCGATGACGTTTCTTATTCCAATCCTAATATTGGTTAAACGATAATAATATTCTTTATGTAGTATTCTGAATATGATTTTTTAAAACGGATATTTCAGATTTAAAATATTTAAACAATTTTTCTACTAAAAACTATGGAGATATGATAATATAGCCCCTCTCTTTTATCCCTTACCCCCGTTTTCCTCCTATGATTATCCCAAGTTTACGAAACTCGTTATTAGGTGTGTAATATACTAAAATTGTTCCGCGGTTGTTATCATTTATGCTGCTGCTGTATTGTTATGATTATTGCAGTTGTTATTGCACAATATATATTAAAATTATTCATCTTTGCAACTGTATCACAATGTGGGTTCCATCACATGCTGGAATTTCTGGGAATGAAAAAGCAGATTCTAAAGTTAACGTAGCAACAATATCCCAATTCTTTATAAAAATCAATAAAAACACCATATCTGATGCAAATTACAATATTAAAAAAAAAAATAATGGACAGTTTTGTAGACAATTTAGATTAATGTACCTCTTTCAAATGAATTCAGAAACATAAAACCACACGAGCAAAAATGGAAAATTCCTTCGGGCATTTCAAAAAGAAGGGTTATTACCCGAGCGGCAATCAGCAAAGAACCGAAACCGTGTGCTAAACATGGAGAGTCAACATATCTATCCACCATATAATGATCAATTACCCTACATTCTCGGAATCTCGCAAGTTTTTCAGCAACCCTATTTCAATTCATCAAGCTCTCAACGAAGACAACACCAAAGCTATCTGTCCCTTTTTTCGTAAAATTAATATATTCAAAAATTGTAAAACACCAATATATTATGTACAGATTTTTAAAATTTCCCTTAAGTGTTATATATTATATTTAATTGTTAAATTTAAGTAGACTAATTATAATTTTTGTTGAAGCCTTTACTTCTAATAAAAAAAAAAAATAAAATTAGTTTTTGTTTTAATTTCTTAGTTTGAAAAATTAATAAATTATTCAAAAACCGAAAATATTAGATAAATCATTTGGCAAAACATTATAAATACTCTTCTTTATAAAACGCAAAATAACTTTATTTGCTCTAAACTTAACCAGAGAGTCAAAATCATTGGTAGTTATAACTGAAATTCAGGGGGCACAAATGAATAAAAATTTAAAAATTCCTCATTAAAACATTTTTTTTTTGAAGACATCGAGTTTTACTATTATTTTTTTCTAACCTTTATAATAAATTGTAGCATGTTTTTGAAAGCCAATTGTAACTATTTGTGTATTGGGTATTTGTTTCCTATTAGTTACCTAGGCAATTAAAAACACCTATACATTGTTATTTTGTATCCAGCCCTATAAACTACTGGTTAGGTATATTACTTCTAAAGGTTGGATCGAGAATTTCAATCAATTTAAACCTTCCCTAGACAACTCAGACCATTTTGCAAAAAATCGGCCCGGTTGTTTTTTACTCAATAGCTAACAGAGAAAGAAATCAACAAAGAAACATTCATTTTATATTTATATATATAAATATATAGAGAGAGAAAATAGTAATTCAGGAATATTAGAGACCCAAGCTGTTTCGATAGGTACATTTTATTATTATACAATATAAATTCTAGTACCTTTCTTTCTTTTCAAAAGCGGTTGTGTATTACTTTTCGGTTAGATATACTTTATTTATATTTCTACCGGTGGATATTTGCCCACGTTATTGTATTTTTTATGATTATTCAATAATATTCTTATTAGGTCAAAATGTTTTATATATCTTTAGTTTTTATATTTATGTATGCACTCTGTAAAAATATTTTTGACCAAAAATTATGATCAGATCATCACTTTTGGAGATTGCTTCTCGGGTAAAAAATGTTTTCTTCTTTGTATTATTTTTAAAAATAAATTCTGTATTGAGACTTTTCTTGATAAATTTATAATTAGGTATCTTTTATTTTATCTGGATAGTTACTGTCAAGTTAACTAAATATTTACCTCAGATAAAAATATCACTTATACAGATTTATTTTTCTGTATGGATGTACTTTTTTGATGTTTTGTCATTCACGAGTTCTAGTACTGAATTTAGGACAGAGGACCCCACAGGAATTAACCTCGATGTATGTGAATTTTTTTGAAACAAATTATAATTATTATTAAATTATAATTATTTATTTTATTTGTTTGTATTGTGCAGTTTTTAGAACCTAGTATGTGAGTAATAATCTGTTATAATCTTAACAATATAAAATGTAAACTATTATTGAAAAACAAAAATAAAATTGTTTTAGTACGTCCAATAAACGCAATCGCCAGAAAGTATTGCATAATATACGTACATATCATCATTGTTATTGAAATTAACCTTTATAGATTTAATAACAAAATCAAAACGATTGTTCGCTGAAAATATTCTTGTTTAATAATTAGAAAATTGATTGTATCTAAGTACTATACATACTATCTAACGCATTTCTTGCTTCGCTCAGAACATCAAATTGTAATCAAATTGAATTTACAACAGATATTAGAATCTTTGTTCGTGCCAGGAGCTAGATTTGATAGTCGCAGACAAAATGTTATCGTGTCACCCTCGTCTCCACCGCATCTGTTTCGGAGATTTGACCACCGCCCGATTATCGTCCCACGTAGAAGTACGTTTTGCGGGTGATTTAAGAGACTATCGTTCATTTTTTAACGGCCACAACGTGTATATCCGTATGCCTTGTACGTCATGTACGTACGTCTCTGTTTTAAGCTTTTCGTGCGTGTACATACCCTGACAGCCTCCGGTCTGTTATCAACGTTCAACCGGGTGTCCAGCTCATTGCGTCACGTAATGTTACCGCATTTTATTTATAATATGGTATTTTTTGTTAGCCAACTTATCCCA